GGGGTCGGCGGATATATGTATATACATATATATATATATATATACGTACATATATATATATACACATACATAGATATGCATACATTAGATTGAAATTAGCAAGACTACACTGTCCTAATAGGTATTTTTAGGCAATTTTATATATCTATTCTGCGTCGGAAAATTTCTAGATCCAAAATGAACCAAAACAGATCCAAGATAATAGAATAAAAGATTTCTACCACTATATAAAATATTCTTACATCTATAAGATAAAGATATAAGAAAATAATAAATATTTCATGATCCAAAATATGATATACTTCTAAAAATATTTCACTATATTTATTGATTGATAATGTTATATGAAATGTATATATATATATGTATATATATATATATTTTAAATCTATATTTATAAATGCATATATGAATTTGTTCTGAATCATATGTTGATATTTAATATATGAAGTTGGATGATAGAAAAAACTATGACTTTAAAGTTCTTATTTTAAAGAGATTCGAAAAGATATATTTACCAATATTATACTTAGACTCTGATTTATATGGAGAGTAGTTTAGTTCAGAATATATATATATATATAAATATATAAATATATATATAATATATATAATATATATATATATATAAATATATAACTACCAAACAAGACAACTATATTGATTATTTATTTTTTGTCGTATGAAATGATATGTTTACATAGGTTGCGTTTTACATTAACATAGGTAGAAATAAGAAAAACTGTTCATAATATTATGTAAGATTATATAGGCATACATATATATATAGAGACAAATATATACAAGAAACATAATATATTGATATAATATGATGAAATTGATGATGACGATGATGAAAATATAATGATATATTGTGTCACTATATTTATGAAATATTTTCTATTAAAAATACTAGATTACAGGAATGGTATACGAAAAAAGAATGAGATGATCTATGAGGGAACGGATCTTGCCTTCATGAAACTTCATTAGAAGAGACGATAGAAGTGCACGTCGAGATTCAGGCGTAGACTTATATAGCTAAGTTTGCCTAGGGCTCCGGGGGGAGCTTCGCTAGCCGAAATTTCCTTGTATTCTCTCCGTCTCTTTACAACAAAAGGGGTTGACTTCTCTTTGCCCATTAACGAAAGATATTTTAACGGAATATACCTCATGGCAGATGCTCATGCCCTCTTGTATAAAGGCAGAATAGAGAAGAATTATGGAAGCACGAAAAGGCGAGGCAGATTAGTCGGTGGAGGTAGCAACTCGCGCACAGATCAATCACCTGCATATGACGTCCTGTGCAAAATCGTTCATATTGCATCCTGTTCGCGGACGAAAGAGGTTTCATAGATTCAATCGAAAATATCTATAGCCAGAACGGAGGCGAAAGAGAGGGGAGCTTCCCCCACCCCCAGCCCTGTCGAAAGAAAGAGAGAGAAATATCTTGAGAGATATACACTGCTCGATCCCCTTCAGGCAAGATTTCCTCCAATGGAGATCCCCAGCGCGCCATAACGGAAAGTCTTTATTGACATATAAACAAAAAGAAAATATTCTCGATTAGATTTCAGTTTAAATTGATAATGATGATGATATTGAAAAGACAATGATCCGTCGTATCATCGCATTTTTCTGTCAAATATACAGACCAAAAGAACGAAATATGAAAATCAAAATAAAGTAATCCATGAGGATATAAGTCTTGCTCTCACTATATGAGACGACAGAGTCAGATACCACGAAATGAGATGAACATGAAACTATAAATGAAGGCCCCGCCAACTACTCACGCCGAGGCCCAAGCGCGAACCTATGCAAATATCATGACCTAGGGAGCAAGAGAGAATTTCGTTGGACGGAGATACATGTAAATCATTCCCTCCGACAAACAGACCCACGCATGCAGACAAATAGATTCATCAGATAGTTGCAAACAGACAGAGAGATACCAATACAGACAACCAGATAGACAGAGAGAGACAGAGACAGATAGAGACCGACACACAAACAGACAAATAGACGGACACAAACAAACAGACACAAACAAACAAATACAGACAGACACAGACAAACAAACACAGACAGATAGACAGACACACACAGACAAACATACATAAACAGACACGCTCATGCACTGTCTCGTTTGTTCACTTGCTTACTGACTCACTCGCCCTGCTCGCTCGGACACTTCCTCCTCCACACTCCGCAAGCACATTAATCGCATCAACCCACTCGTTCAATCTATCCGATCTCCGTCAGGGCGCTCCTTAGGTCAAGTGCTGACATTGCCATTCTGTATTCACCTACCTAGTCGTCGGTCCATTCGTCGCATCGAATGAACACTCTCGACCGCAAGCCAAAACACTCAAGTCGAGCGCCCCCTACGAACGGAACAGGGGCTGGCTTTTGCTTGAAGCAGCTACGGGGTTTCGCCGAGACATCGACCCTGCCGCTGCAGACGCAGTGAGTGCCAAGACAGTGCAATGGATCGGCTCGAAGCTGGAGGCACACAACACTCACAGTACCTCGAGCAGGTGCAGCGATGCACATGTCACGCATGCAGCCGGCAACAACGTGATAGACACCAGCAGCTAGCAGCCTAGCAGCTCCGACCTTGCGGACAAGCCCGCGACAAGCTGATAGCTTAAGCCTAAGATGTACCTTGGACGTAGCATGACGTAGCAAGCTCAGTCTGGGTTTTCCTGCCTTGATGGCACTGTTCTGCGACAGACGCAGAATGCTGTCAGGCCTGCGCACCGCACTTGAATTGTGTCATGTTCGACAGGAGGTTCCATGACAGTGGCAGCACATGCATTTCCGGAAGAATCTGCCGACGCCACTGCAACGTTGTACCGGCCAGGCGAGTTCAGCCAGAGCATCCCCAGAAGTGTTCCCCGACTCGGGCGCAGCGGGCTCATATGCAATCCGACCCGACACGGCAGTCTGCAAAGGCTTGAGCTTCATGGACTTTGGTGACCTGCCCCAACTGGACAGTATTGGTCAGGACAGCTCCGTGTGTCGCGGGGTGTGCACGAGTCACAAAGCGCTTGCAGGATGCCGACCAACCGGAATCATGGGCTGTGCAGCAGGCTTGCCTGTGAAGAGCTGTGTTTGCGGCCTCTTCGGGATGTGCCTGGTCCAGGATGGCTCGCTCAGACACTGCTTGACTAACATCGTCATCGGCGAGGGTGGGCTTCGGGACCCCTTCTGAGTTGTTTCCTCGCACCCCTCGCGTATTAGACGCTCCCAGAGCCGCCTCAAAGGATGGAGTCGGAGAGATTGAAGTGGATCAGACAAATCTCCTCGGTCGTGGAGGCGGCGGCGTTGTCTGCCGGGCCGTACACAAGCGCACAGGCCACGAGGACTGAAAAGTCGACTTAAGGCATGCTCACCAGTGCTGCATCAGCCTCAGGCATGCCTTTGGCAGTGAAGGTGGTCAGAGTAGAGGACAAGGTCTTCGTGATAAACCCTTTCTCTGTCGGGTCGCTGCATAGTGGCCTGATCCAGAAGGCGAAGCGTGATCAGCTCATCAACGAGATCCACACCCTCTTCCGGATCACGAAGAGTCACTTCTTGATCGAGCTCTATGATGCGTGAGCCGCGGTTCATGTCTTGGGCAGAGCTCCCTCTAGGCGAAAGCATCATGGATATATGTATATATATATATATATGTATGCTACTCCATCCACTATTTTAGCTGTTTCAGAAGACTGGATCCACCATGTTAGCTGTTGTTTCAGTAGACTGTGAAGCAAACGAAGCCTATATTATATGAAACGTGCAGTAAACGAGTGTGATGCATGCTCTACTACTACTACTACTACCACCACCATCACTTCTAGCACTGCCAATACGACCTGCGAGGATCCACCGTTTTGGCTGTGTATTGAGCCAGACGCAGCTGATTCAGAAGACTGTGAGGCAAACGAAGCACATACGAAACATGCAGCAGACGAGTGCGATACATCAGTCTGCGATTTTGTTGTGGTCTCATACGTGCGATTCCGGGTAATCAAAAGCTGTGTGCGAAGCGAAGACCTACAGCCGGCATTTAGAATGCCAAGGCAAAGCGAGGAACACATGAGAACAAAACTATGCTCGTCAGCACTCTGATTTCTTGACAAAGCCTTTCATACAGTCTTCCAGCAGCGCTCCTGTACAAATCCAAATATCTTCGTTGCGGTGCCAATGCTCGTATTGGGCGCTGCGAATCTGAGCAGTGAGCTGCTTTGAGGAGGCTTTGCCATGCTGGTTTCAACGCAAAAAGTCTTTTGATGAAACGCCACGCTCTGTAAACAGCGAAAAACAAGGCAGCAACAACATAGGGCATTGGACAGCCGCATCGAAATATATACGTTAGCAATGGTCACAGTCTAGTACTTAACTGCAACACAATATGACGATCGTTTGCACAAGCATATCCCAGCATGCATAGCAGCAACCTTTTACATGTTGCAGTCCGCCTCTGCTGGGATCTATTAGAGATACTACACAGCTGAAAGTATACAGTCTCTTAGAGACTTCTGTTGCCATTCTATTGCTCATTCGCCACGCCCGACTCGCCCGACATTCGTCGAGGCGAAGGCAGTGCTCGTGGCTATCGCGGCGTGCTGACACGAAAATGCTGCTTGAAGGGGTAGATCTCCATATCTGCGCGTGTGAGGGCTTAGGAATCGAATTAAAGCATAAACGTGTTCTTTTATGGATGCCATGAAATAGAATTTACGATGAATCCTGCTGTCACAGTGTCGCCCTCCAAACAGATTGCTTTTGTAGGGACAGTACAGTGTTTTTGTTAATTTTCTTGCAAAAGTGCTGTACTGCCCC